GGGGGGGGAGTTTGAGGTGTGGAATGGAGGGAGGTCCAATCAGCTTCCATATGCAAAAGACCTTGAAACGCTGGGCGGGACTGCACAAAGCAGCCAGTCAACCCAGCCAGCGTCTTCTGACTGACAGTTCTTGCGGCCAAACACTAAAGGTGTGCGTTTTGGAACATTGGAGCCCACTATGGCTTTATATATAAGGGAGAGATGGCTGGCAGGAAGCCATTGTAACATTCTTATTTGAACGGCAGCACCAGCAGCCAAACTTTGTCTTCTAAGGTAAACACTGAAAACATTTTTAATGACAGAATTGTTTAATCTAAGAATATGGTTTTTGAAAGAAAGATATTTTCATCTAGAATTTCTGAGAATAGCAGCATCCATATAGGCAATGTACTTTGAACTTTCAAAAAACCCTTCTAATAAGGATTCTCCTAAGGAAAATTTGCAACTGTGAGAGATAATGGGTCTTCCTAATACTGAGAAGTGTTGAAAAGACAGGAAACAAAACATCTAGATAAATATGCCCTTTTCACAATGGAAAGAGGAAAAGAGAAATGAACAAGCAGGTACCTGCAAAAAGCTTGTGGGGAGGAGGCATCTCCCCCATCTTTGCATCCTCCATTCTTCCCCTTCTCTATTAATGTTCCCCCTCTCTTTCTACTACCACCCCTTATCAATCAACCCCCCAATTTCTATCCTTACTCCTTCTATGTCAGTCTTCACCCTCTCTCCCCCATCCCTTTTTCTGACCACCCATTCTCAAATAATCTTCCCTTCTATTCCCCCACCCTTTCTCAATTTCCCCCCTATTTTCCCCACTCCACCCCTTCTCCCATCACCCTTTTTCTCTTCCAACCATTAGAGCTGCAGCAGCTGTCCTTTTTGAATTTCCCCCAGATTCTAAAGGTCAGACTTCAGGGACAAGCAATGCCAGAGGCAGGAGAGGGGAAGGAGGAGTATTCGCCCCCACTCACCTGTCTCCAGCACTGCTTCTTCCTGCAGTCTGACCAATTAGAAGCCAGGGGAAAGTTTTAAAAGGACAGCTGAACTGGCAGCTATGGGAGGGGGGGGTGAGAAGGCGCCTCCTTGCCCACTTGCAAGCATGGCTCAGCTGCCCTTTTAAATCTTACCTGCTGGTTTCTAACCTACCAGACTGCGGGAGGAAGTGGTATAGGTGAGTGGGAGCAATGAATCTTCACCACCCTGCCCCCCACAGCTCAAACGCTGCTTCTCCCTACAATTTGGCTGGTTAGAAGCCGGCAGGAATGTTTTGAAATGATAGCTGACCCACCAGCCACGGAGCCTTGAAAGTGGATGAGAAGGCTCCATCTCACCCCCACCTCTGTAGCCACCAGCTCAGCTGCCCTTCTAAAACTTTCTTGCCAGCTTCTAACCAGCTAGACTGCTAGGAGAAGCTGTGCTGGAGCTGTGGGGAATTCCTCTCATGTAGCTGCATCTTCAGTGCTGCTTTTCCCCATCCTTTTTTCCCTCCTCCACTGCAGCATTTTTGCATTTGGGGAGTAACCCCCCCACCTTTTTAGCAGATGGTTAAGATTTTTCAACAACGGGGGGGGGATCCCCATGTTTTGGGGGAAATCTCTTCTCTCCATGTGGGCTCAATCAGCGGATATAAGTATCTGCAGTAAGCCCACACATGGCTATTATAATATATGATGATATGAGGTAAGCAGGAAATAATTAATCCATTCTGTTTTCTGGTTGAGTAATACAAGATGGCTAAATATTCCTGCAGATACAGACAGAACTCATGTTTTAACAAACAGTTACAGATGTGATTTTTTTTTCAGATCCACGGCCTAAAAATTTGAGCAAGTATACAGGTGATCTGAACACCACAGCCCTCTAAAACAAAAATTTTAATTAATACATGGAAGACTTTTGGAAGTTCAATGCAGAAAAAGCAACTCATGCAATTAATTAGCACCAATAAAATAATCATTCATACATATTTGTGTCCTGCCAATCTTTGTGCAACATTACATATAGAGCGATGAAAAGGCATTCTGCATATGAAACAAAGCTCTCCAAATTCATACTTACATTATTGCATTCACCCAGGAAATACAATGCAAATCCATCAGCATTTGTAGCTGCCAAAGTAACAATAAAAAATAACTCATTATCAAGAATCAAACATGTATTATTTTGTTAATCTCTAGCCTATTTATCAATTTTCAGTATTAATCTCACATGTAAGACATGAAAAAGAAAAATATGTAAAATGATACAAAATCTTTCCATTGATAGATTGCATGAATTTGGAACTAGCGGTGATTTTGAAATGTAATTTCATCAGGCCTCTCAATTGAATTACAGTCTTACAGTTCTTGAATGTCTCCTCAAATTGAATCCCATTGCACAAGATTTCCATTGAACTGTCTAACTACATTCAGTTTTTTTTTTAAATCTCATTCTCACCTCCAGTGTAACTGCAGAAGACACAGACACTGTAGAGAAAAAAATCTACCTGTTAGGGAGAAGTAACTGTACAATTTCACAATTTATTGGCCTTGGCAAATGTCACCCTGTACAATTTCCCTTAGATTCAGGAAACCTTAAAGATTCCATGAGTGTGCATTTGCTTTGCCAAGGGCTCTCATAAATTGAAAGACCTCACAAGTGTCTTCCAGTAGCTATTAAAAAGCATTCTGTCAGGGGCAGAATGCTTCTTTTAGCCCACAACTGCATTCCCAGTAGATATTCTGACACTTACAGAGCCTTTGGTAAATTCTAGAATCTCTGCTGGAAGCACAATTATAGACTCCAGGAATGATTTCACAGAGCTATAGGAGCACACTTGAGCAATCTTGCAATTTAATAGAGACCTGACAAATACACTCCCAATGCTACTTTAATATTCCCTAACCCTTATAAAAGTTACAGGAGTGCATTTACTGAGGTCACTATATTGTAAGATTGCATAGCACTCAGACTTCTCTGCAGGTACTGATAAAAATGGTTTGTAAATTTTATCTTGGGATAAAATCCTAAACTGTATGGAAGAATGGGAATTCATTCGTTCCTAACTGTAGCATAAATTAAAACATGTTTAATGGAATTTCACAGGACTTAGACGTTAAAAATTATCTGTAAATATTTGTAGGTAGGTATAATGAGGTGACTGTTCAAATCTACATTGGTTACTAATAGACAACTGGACTGTGCTGATCTTGTTTTCTAGTATGCAATAATCAAATAGCTCACTGAAATTGAAAAATATAATGGAACTTGAAATAGTTGGGGAAAAGAGCTTCCAATGGCAAGGGAGAACACTTTTAAGATATACAGGAGTGCCGTATATAGTTCTAATCTCACTATATCACCAGCCCCCAAGTAATCAAGTAATCTGCCTACAGCTGACACTCCTTATGCCCATTTTTGGTAGTACAGAACAGCTATAATATTTGTGGGAAAAGGTAACTTCTTTTAAAATCTGAATTATATGTGTCAATGTCCTTTAATTTTCATAAGCTCATGCAGAAAACAGGGTTGTGCTTACCTACTCTTGTTCATAAAGTGGTCACCTCTCCAGTCACATATAGATTACTGTGCATGCAGAGGCCTGCCGCAGTGAGATTTTAAAGCTCAAAAACCCTAGATGGCAATCCTTCCCTCCTTTTCCATGCCGCTTTCCCACCTTTTCCAATGTAAAAGGAGGGGCCTCCATCAATTCCTCTCTGCCTCCATTGGAGAGAGCTGGTGTTGCATACGATAGTCATTATGGGGCCGGAGGGAAGGATGTGTGACTGCACAGGTGACCATTTAATGAACAACAGTTAGCCATAAGCACAACCCTGTTTTCATCATAGAGGAACCTGTGTAGTCCCACATGGGAGAGTAGCGAGCTGACTTGCGAAGACTTGGAAGGCAGATGTGAGCTCTAAGTTGAATAATATTTGGAATACCACTTTTTCCAATGCCACATCTTTCATGACATCAGTGTCCAGAGAATAGTACTTGGTGAAAGTGCAAGTGGAGGATGAAGTCACCACCCTGCTTACCTCATCTCCTGGATGTCCTTGCTGGATTGCTGCCAAGGTCGGTTGTGCCTTGGTGGAATGGGTGTAGAGGCAAAATGGACAGTCAATTTGCACAAGCTGGTAGTATAATCAGATGCAGGTGACAATCCATCTGGGAATGGACAGTGCACAAAGTTTATGGCCCAATTTATGGCCTGAATATGAGATGAATAGGTTTCTTTTCTGAAACATTTGGTTCTATCCAGGTAAAATAGCAAAGCGCTACGGATGCCCAAAGTGTGGAAAGCATAATCAGTCTTTTTCTGTCACTGTGGAAGAAATGCTGGCAGGTTGATATCTTGATTTGCCATGTAGTGGTTAAGAGTGTCGGATTAGGATCTAGGAGACCCAGGTTCAAATTCCCATTTGTGTCATGGAAGCTCCTGGGTGACCTTGGGCCAATCGTATGCTGTCAGCCTAACCTACCCCACTGGGTTGTTATAAGGATAAAATGGAGGAGAGGAGAATGATGCAAGTCATTTGGGATCCCCACTGAACAGAAAAGCAGTGTAGAAATGAATTAACTAAAGATGTCAAAGGCTCTTAGGAATCACAGTTGCAGGGTGCACACACATAGAGTGCGGCTGTGGTGGATGCCATCAGCCTCAGCAATCTTTGAAAAAATATTGTGGATTGGAGCTAGAGATGATTGCAATGAAATACCCCTACACCTATAGCTAGGATACTGTCTGGGGTAGAAGGGCTTTCACCAGGGATGTCTAGTATTGCTCCTATGAAGGACCGTTTGGGTAGGTTACAATCTGGACTTTCTGAAGTTGACTTGTAACCAGAGCCTGTAACCCAGAGTGAAATGGCCGTGGCCAGCTTGTGGGCCACACAATCTGTCACATACTTGGCAGAAGAGATGCAGTGCTTAGACAGCTTTGATGCCTCTAATGCCAAGAGCTTGGGAAGTCTGCACTTTTCCAATGACAAGCATTTCCAGATAGGGAGTGAGGCTATCCCACAAGAAGAGCTGATACCTGGCCATTATGCACTGGGTAACTGGCGATCTTGAAAGTCAAGGCTGAGGAAGCATAGATCTTTCAGTCTACTCTATCAGGCTTGCAGCCCTCTCTGTGAACAGGGGCAAAGTACTGAGTGCCTTTGTTTCTTCCCTGAATGGAGTCTACTACTACAGCACTGGCAATGGGATGCTGGAATAGAAAAGGACAGCCTTCTTGTTTGGTCCTATATTGGTTACTGATTCTGTGGGCTGACAGTGGCACAGAGGGGGGCTTGAACACAGAGGGCCCTGTAGTTACTTCTAACAGTCTACTGATTCTGTGGGCTGACAGTGGCACAGGGGGGGCTTGAAGGGCCCTGTAGTTACTTCCACAACAGAAAAGGTGACCAGACTAGCGGCGTTGGAATGCATCGCCTTGAAAACTGGATCTGTGGCCCTTTGAGGGGGCACAGAAGATGTCAGTTTTTAGTGATCTCGCCATATGGCTGGTTTACTCACTATAGAGCCTAAAGTCTTCAGTAGAGGAATAAATGGATGGCTCTGGAAACTGGCCTGAAGGTACAGTTCTGAGGCGAAATCAAAATCCTGCTCATTACAGAAACTGATCATAGTTGCAATGGGATTGAAAGTCCAGTCCCGGTGCCAACAGAGAATGCCCTCTGGACATTAGTTGAATCAGAACCAAGAGGAACATATGGATCCCAATTTTGGTTCTAACAGAATGCATTGTATAGATCCTCTAAAAGATGTCTTGGGGAAGAAATAGGGAGGAGTCAGATCCAACTGACTTGTCAAATCCAATCACTGAGACGACAAAGGTTGACAACAGGGTGGTCCAGAAACAGTCAGTCTGCCTTCTGATACTGATGGAGCTGACATCAAAGATAGAAAGAAATCCCTACAAAAGTACCCTTTTGTATGCCATCAGTGTGCATTCGGTGATGGATTCGAGGGGTAAAGTAGCTGCAGACTTGTGATGGGAGGAAGAAGTGGACTTGAATTACTCTGACAACATTTTTCTGCATGCTTGTTATAAGTCTTTTTAAGGTGAGGCTCTTCTCCCAGGAAATGCCAAGATAGTAAAGGATTGCACCCTTCTTTGTGTCATGGTTGGAGCCAAATGCTCTGAAACCAGTCCCAGATCCATCAGTCAATGATAATTGGATCCACCTGTCTGGATTTAGTCTTGGCATTGGACAATTGTCAGGAGCAATGCCAGACAGAGCTTTTCCCTCAACGGCAGCTTTCACAAGCAATGCTCTGTCACGTCTCACTTTGGGAGTGAACTTCTACATACCAGGCACATTGAGACATCCTGCTCTTCACCAAGGCATTTTCATCCCACAAGCCATGCATGTTTTTTAAGAGAGATTTTGGGGCCATGTAATTCGAGGCTGGTTGCTCGAAATTCTCTTGTAAAATTTGGTCTGCCAAAAGCAGAAGAAAGGCCTGAAGGCTGCAATTTGCCTCAAATGAAGCTTCAAATCGAAGAACTTCTCTCAATGGCAGCATAAACTGACAGAAGGTCACTCTGCCCCCTCCGTTTATGCTGGAAATGGCAGGATAGTAGTGTGAAAATGGGGAAGAAACTCCCCCTAGAGTTTTTGATCTTCAAAATCTCTCTGTGGCAGGTCTGAACATGCACAGAAACCCATGTGGGACTGCACAGGTATCACAACACTGAATCTGCATTATTAAAATGATGGTACTATTCTGGCTAAACTGATTTAACCAACAACTGACCTGCAGTATCTAACCCCCGCCCCTAAAATTTATAAATTAGCATAGCATCATCAAAGAAGGGTTTGCATGGTTAAAATCAGATATGTGGGGTGGAAAATTTTCCATTGATTTCCCCCTCATGGAAAATATTTCATTTCTAAAGGTTTATTGTTTCATAAAATTAACAAAAATGAACAGATGTCCCTGGCAATACTTTATTAGGTAAGCTTGGGAATTTTTAAGTTGTAATTCACGTTTTTCAGGTCATTTTCCCAAGGAAAGGTGTGATAGTACAGGTATCTTTTAAAGGTAAAGGTAAAAGTTTCCCTTGCTCGAAAGTCAGTCAAATCCGCCTCTAGGGATGCGGTGCTCATCTTCGTTTCCAAGCCGAAGAGCCAGTGCTGTCCGAAGACGTTTCTGTGGTCATGTGGCCAGCATGACTAGACGCCGAGGCGCACGGAACACTGTGACCTTCCCACCGAAGCGCTACCTATTTATTTACTTGCAATTTCTTGCTTTCGAACTCATTTATAAATCAGGGGTGAGGAGATTAAGCCATAAGTAGTCATAATGCAGTTGTGTTTACAAAGTAGAAAGGATATTGCAATCACCAATTTAATATGGAACTAGCAAGCACTCAGTGACCTCCATGGATGATAGTTATCTTCTGCTGAAACAGATGAGTGAACCATGACCACAGCATACCAAGTATAGTTCTTACATTATGCTAAATTACACTGAATCTTGTGGTACCTTAAAGACTAGCACAATTTTATTCCAGCCAAAGCTTTCATGAACTAGAGACCATCAGCTCAGAAACTTAAGTGTCTGAATAAGTGGGCTCCCATCCATAAATTATTAGGCTGGAATAAAACTCTGTTAGCAAGGTGCCACAAGAGTCCTTTGTATTTTTGCTGTAAAAGACTAACTCAGCAAACCTTATTGAATTATGAGGCTCATTCATTCACATGCATTTTCCCTAATATAATAAAGTGACACGAATTTCAGTTTATAGTAGAGAAAGCTGCAGTAAATTCATTTTTCTATCATTGATGATGCTGTAAACAATGTTTAAAAACCAATGCACAGATTTTAAATAAAGGACACCCAAAATGTTCTCTTACCCATTTGAATAATACTACTCAATTCATATAGAAGCAGATGGTTATTCCCTCCTATGTCCAACCTCTGCTCTATATAGCTGTTCAGTTCATATACCACTCCTTGCATATCAGTATCCTGGTACTATTGAAAACAAACACACACACATTTTAGAACATAAATTAATACAAAAGGCGTATTTATCAGTGCTTGTGATTTAAAAAAGCGATTAGCTAAGATGGAGAAAATAAGAATTCAAGAGAGAGGCAAGATGGCTAAGAGAAAGAAAAAAGTTGCTGAAATATAAGCAATCAAGATAAAAGACTCCTAAGGAGTTAATCAGCATTTATTTACTAATTGCACTGATGACCAACAACAAAAGTGAAAGTGGGCTAACATGTGCTAAACTGGGAGAATATGCCAGGTACAGTCATATAGGCACCCATCTGTTCCCCCACAGTTTGTCCACAGCCATGTTGAAAGCAGAATCTCCCTCCGCATTGCATCCTGCTCTCACTTTCCTCCTGCATCACAGCTCTTCCCAGATTCTGCATTGTTTTATGGCCGTTCAGAACTGACTTCACAGTCATCATGGTGTTGCCCCAGGGTATCTGAAAGTGGTTTCTCCCAAAACCTTTTTGCTCTTCAGCTTCCAATTCGGAGGGAATAATAAGCAGGCCACTTAATGTGGCTTTAGTCTCTGTCCATTCCCCCAGCCTCATTTCCACTTCTATTTAATTTTCAACTACCACACAACTTGGAGGGCAGATAGAGGGGCAGCCTGGGGAGGTCCTCGGCAAGTTTGACACTTGCAGGGGGATTGTTTGACACACTCCTCCCCCCTTTGTACATTGGACCCTAGGGAGGGATTTTTCCCCCTTCCCCAAAGCCAACTGCACACAACTTGAAAGGGGATGTATCAAAAGGAATTACAGGATTGCCCATTGGAAACAATTTGAGAGGCTTGAAGGTCCATTTGTTGTTGTTGTTTTAAAATTAAAACCCTTGGGACGCCACCCCTCCCGACACACCAGCCAGCCAGCCAGCCAGCCAGCTGCCAAGCTTGCATCCCTCTATGGGTCATGCATGCCTGCACTAGGTCAGTGGCAGCTAGCCAAAGTGGGTGGGAGAGCCAGGAGGAGAGGAGAGAAAGGGGAAAGTGTAGCATGCCTCATCCCTTGCTTACACACTTGGCCAAGTCAGTGGCAACTGGACGCCCCCTCCAAAGGTCACAAGTGATATTAACCACAATTGAGCAAAGTGCAGGTTTTGGTTGTAGATGCAGAATGCATACACAAAAATAAACTGGAGGGGGGAAAATAGTGCAGAGGGCAGGAACACAAAATATGAAGTTAACCTTAAAGGTTTGACTGCTTGGATTCTCTGGAGTAAGCTACACTGAGCTGTTAGTGCAGAAAGGGCCCTTGTCTTGTGTGTTGAACAAATACAGAAGGAAAATAATTTTATAATAGAAAATATAGATACCTCGTAACTGGATTGTACCCTGATATGCAGCATTTAAGAACAGTGCTAAATCTGAATAAACATTTTTCCATTTCGTTTTATGCTTGAATTTTCCCAGAATATTACTCTTATTTAAGATTTGCTTTGTTTTGTTGCTCAAAGTTTTAATCTTACACACTTTAAGACACTTGAAAACATCTGAACCACCTGCTGGTGAAGATGGTTGTAGATTGGGAAATATTAAAAATATAAAGCAGTAGTCTAGTGGCACATTAAGGACTAACAAAATTTATTCCAGCATAAAGTTTCTGAGTCAGACCTCACTTCCTCAGATGTATATGGAGTGAAAAATGAGACTAAGAATACATTAAGGGTACTTGCAAAATTCTATTAGATGCATTTTGTAATCCAATATAGGTCCTCCCCTATTGGATGGCTCTTTGGATCAAACCCCAGTCTATGGGAGCTCTGAACAGCCATCTGAAAAGGATTCACATTGTTAAAGGCTTTTAATTTTACTCAGTTTTTCCCTGGTCTCATGAACCACGGACACTGAGGGAAATATTATTCTTTCAAAGTCTCGTAGGTACACACATCTACAACCCCCAGATTTAGGGATCCAGGAAAAATACCTGACTGTTACAAAAGAGAAATTAAAAAGATAGTGGAACGAGATCCCTAAAAAACTACCCTTCTGTATGCTATAAAACATATATACTAGTTTTTGGCATAGGTAAAGGTAAAGGTTTCCCTTGCCTGAAAGCCAGTCGAATCCGACTCTAGGGGGCAGTGCTCATCTCCGTTTCCAAGCCAAAGAGCCAGAACTGTCCAAAGATGTTTCTGTGGTCATGTGGCCAGCATGACTAAATGCCAAGGCACATGGAACGCTGTTACCTTCCCACCAAAGCGGTACCTATTTATCTACTTGCAATTTCTTGCTTTCGAACTGCTAGTTTGGCAGAAGCTGGGGCCAGAGACAGGAGCTCACTCAGTCATGCGGCAGTAGGGTCCTGAACTGCCAAACTACAGACTTTCCAGTCTTCAGGTTAGCATCTTAACCTCTGAGCCACCACAGCCCCTTTAGTTTTTGGCATACAAAAGGCTAATTTTAAAGGGTTTCCTTTTTTTTTTGTATATATCTATGGTATTTAAAGGTACAATTGCATATTTTATAGTATCAACAAAATTGAACCCTCTTTCATGTTCCAAATCTTACATTTTTACTTCTTAAATATTTTATCAAAGAGACACTTTTGAAGGAGCGAATGCTATTTTCTTGCTGTTTTTATGTTGCAACACAAGGGTGCACCTTTTCCAGGATCCCTAATTTTCTGACCTGCCAAAAAGCACATTCAAGGGACTCAGGGTAGGGTCTGCTTTGAACATGATCATCATGGACACCAGGGAAATGGGGAGCAGCATTCTTTTTTTAATTGTTGGGTTTTGCTCTTTGAAATTTTGTAATATTTGGTAGAAGATCATTGGAAAGAAACCCCTGGGTTAAATACAGAACAAATCAATCTCTATCTGGGACGCAGCTGAAGGAATCTGCTCATCCCTGAAATATATGCATACAATATTAGCCGCACTCCTGACTGTTATAATATAGGGTGCTTATGATCAATGGAGTGGGATTCCATCATTAAATCTCATTCACTGGTTAGGAACAGTCAGGAGAGGCTGAAAAATATGTGGGTTTAATCAAACACAATCTACAGTATACCAGAAAGATTGATATTAGGTTTTTTTCAAGCCATATATTGAACAGTTGGATATGACAGAACCTGCGACACACCTGCTATGCACACAGCCACACAGCATAACACAATCACACTTTAGTCATAAACTTCACATAATTTATTAGAAACTATCAGCACACAGCAGACACAGTAGAAACTATCAGCACACAGCAGAAATCAGCTGCCTAAGTAGCATACCACTGATTTCTATAAAAGTTTGGTTAGGATTTCAGCCTAAGTTTTGTTAATACGTATTACAATGTTTGATAGGTCTCATCACCTTGAATTTTTACTTTAGTTATAACAGCCATATACATATTAACAAAAGAATCAGTATGTAAATTGCTAATATGGCAGGTTTTCCATGTTAAGATTTAAACTAGAGATGACTCATTTGTAGTCCTCAGAAACAGAAAACAATATTCAGATCTTCAACTGTACTTGGTTCAGCTGCATAATGACACTGGGTGTCATCTACCAAACCACAAGCAGAGTTCCACTGGTGCTATTCTGCTTTCCCCCTCACATCACAGGCTCCTGAAACACCAGGAAAAGGACAGGGAACCCTCATGGGATGTGACAGAGCAGCCAGCTCCTGAAACACCAGGAAAAGGACAGGGACACAGCAGCCTTCTCCTCACACAATACAGGTTCAAGTGGATGCTAAGTGAGATAATCTGTCTGATAAAAATTAAAGTAAAAAAATTATTCCAGATAAATGAAAATCCCTCAAGTAATTCAGATACCTGAGGGAAAAGATATACAACAGTGCAATCCTAGACACAGCAACATCCTTCTAAATCTCTTGACTTCAAAGGATTTAGAAGAGAATAATCAAATTAGGACTGTACTGTTCAGCAAATATTCAGGTGCAAAATATTAAACTGCTTTCTCAATATTTAATAATCTGAATACCTCTACAGATTTATAAAATGTTAATATTTTAGGAATATGTAAACAAAACACAGAACTACAAAATGTCTTTATATTAGTTATTTGTGGTTAATATAATGAGAAAACTCTAAAAGCGAAGATCCCAAGATTTCAGCATGTAAAATGAAATGAAGAGTGCATGTAACTCTTGACAGTAGAACAAAGATAAAAAACAATATTTTAAAATTGACATTTTTAACTAACATAAATGGTGATTTAATTTAATGTCTTATAAATTAGAGTGAGGACAGTACATTACAGCTTTATATTAAGAACTTTAGATACATTTTCAGATAAAGCAGCAAAAGTCTTTAACAATGGTACTATCACATAAGGCATTCAGAAAAAAAACATGACATTTAAAAAAATATGTCCCAGGTAATTCAGATTTTCTTCACATAATTCTTTTACAATGGGTTTTGGCCACTTCCCCAAGCCTCTAACGAAAACCCATAAAGAGTAAATTAGCAAATTTGTTCTAGATAAAATTATCTCATCAACTTTCCCCGTGGCTCATCCTCTAGATAAGTGCCATAGAACCCTACAGCATCACCTTGGCCAATCAAGACTACTTATCAAGGCTTCTGACCAGCAATACAAGCAAAAAGAGAGACCTACACCAGTATTGGACTGGGATAGGAACCCCCAGGAGCAACGTTTCATTGACATTTGTAACAGCACCATATAAGCTCATCTTCAAAGAAAAGAATATGCTGAAAAGTCTTGGGTACTGGGTTGACCCCCATAAAAGTCAAGGGATTTAGGTGCTGGGGCCTTTGGGCAAGTCACTGCAGGTTTACCTCATTTTAGCATTACTAGCCTAGAGTATTACTAAGTGGCCCTTTGTTCTCACATTCTCTCTCACCTAACTCCCCTATAAGCTGTAATCTTGGGGAACTAGTGGCAAGATTTAGAAGCAGACAGGCATTCGGGAGATAGTTAAAAATACAAGTACATACAATATAAACCCATTAAGAAGCATAATGAGCACAGTTATGTACAATTTGC